TGCTTGACCCTGACGACGATATGTTGGATGCGATGAATGTATATAGACGTTAGTGTGTTTATGACGCTTCTGGAAGAATGCTTGACTGGAACGTTACCGTGTAGCATAACATTGTCATGATCCGCGGCTCATTCGACTGTCGTCAAAGGAAACATGTTCACTAAACAGACTCTCTGGGCCAACCTTCTCCGGGCGAACCCGTCATGGGTCCGGCACTTGGATTCACAGCCTGTTTCTCTCGCCCACCACGTCCATTATTACAGAGGGGTTGGAGGGGTAGAGGGGCATTCTGCATGGGTCGTCCGTTGTCGGCGAGCTAAAGCGGACTAATGCAAGTAGATGGGGTCTGCAACGTTCCCATGTCTGGTCACTGCTTCCCTGGAAAGTTATGCAGGCCCGCTCGCTTGTGATAGCGAGCGACATCGATAGCTTCCACAGGCTAATTCACACAGTGCTTGCAATTTGCTAGCTGGGGGCTCTCGATCATGCATTCATCGTATGAGCTTCGGGCTCGTCTACGTGAACAGAATGAGAAGTAAGACGACATCATCCCTCATAATTGATTTCAATCGTGTTCGCAGAGTTGGCATGTCACTTTGCAATAATAGCTGAAGAAGACAGTAAATGGTGTGTTGTACCTTCAGTTGCTAACCTCTGAGGATGGTATGTGTATTCTGGCTTTCCACGAAGGTTAAGCAGAGGCTTTACAACTCTACTCTCCATGTCGACAATCTTGAGAAGTTGCCCGCGACTCCATATTATCTCTGATGATTCCTCACATCTTCCTCCAAACCGGCCACTTCCAACGGGTATCAACCATATCCAACAATCTCTGCAACTCTAGTACTCAGAACCCACGGCTCAAAGCCTCTAGTCCATAGTCTCAATTGCCAAACCCAACGCCGCCATAGTATGGTCGCCAAAGGCATCATCCATAGGAACGCATTTGCAGACGCCGTTGCCCCAGTTGAAGATGGAAACGCCCTCCTCGTACGGCGGCAGCGGCTCGTCGGACTTGGCTGGACGGTCGTCCTTGTTTCCAAAGATGGCGCCGATGGAAACGCAGCGACAGAGCCTGTTTCTCCAGGGGAACACGCCAGGAGTCTTGTATTTGGTGTCTCTGGGTGAAATCCGGGTGGGCTGGGTTTCAGGGTCGACATCGTAGTCGCTAGTGGCGCCGTTGCCGCTGGGGTCCGACTTGGCGGCTTCTTCCTCTTCGCGTAAGGTCTCCATGTCTTCCGAGGAGGATGTTGTAGATGACTTGGGTGCCTCTATTTCGACTGGTATTCTCAGCTCTTTTGAGAAGTCAGATGCTTCGGAAACAGTGGCTGGCGAGGATTGTGAAGTAGAGGCGGTGGCGGTAGGTGAGGTGGATAACATAGTAGGTGTTGCCACAACGTCAACAGCGTCATTGGTACTATCACCACTACTCGTAGTCCGCTTGACGATGATAACATTCGTCTTGGGAAGCTTCTTAATTGTGACTGAATCTGAGCCGGCAGTGGCGAGTAGACGCTTGAGGTCATCCAGGTCGTCGTGGAAGAACATAACATCGCCGAGTTCTACCTGCTTGGTGTTGGTGGTGGTGATGCGGCCGTCTGCGTGCTCTTCAGCCTTCTCCACCTTATCGAAGAGGTTGTTAAGGAGTAATCCGGCAGGAAGGAGGTCCTTGAGCTGCATTGTAGCGGTGGTGGTTGCTTGTCTTGATAGGTGGTGATTTCTTGGGTTGTTGACTTCGAAGGCCTTGAGAAGTAGGGGGTGAATGGAAGACTGGGTAGTATGATGTATGAACTACGAGTATGATGATTACTGCGAGGCCTTGGAGGGATGAAGACTGGCATCGGAGAAGAAGAGGAGTCTTATACACTCTATGAACTGGGCGTAGCCCGTACAGGTTCTTTCCGGAGATACAGATCCATGGCTTTTGAAAAGCTAAAGAATCGCAGGGCTGAGGATTCCACGATGCTGGAGAACCCGGTCATCCAAGGTTGAGCAAGTTTCTAAGCCTCGAAAGTTGCGGACCACAGATGGGAGAGGGCGCAATGGCTCTCAGGCACGAAGCCATGATGATCGTATATAGGTAGACTTCAGGGTTCGGTCCTTGCTATCCAGAACCCTTTGGGATATTTCGAGAAAGCCACGTTATGCCCAAATGATTCATAGTTCCATTAATTTCACCACCAAAACAGTTCTATTATATCATAGTAATGGCAATGGCAAGACTTCATCACGGGTTTCCCGTACCATGGTTGCCAGTCTAGGCGTCTAAGGAAAATGGCTGTGGAATACCCGAGGAAACGTGCGAGCCACAAACTTGGTTACTTAACTCTGATGAAGGGAGCCATGTTCATCAGATCTACATCTTCCCTGATCTCCAAAGACACTAGGCCGCCAGACGATCAACTAATACCCAAACCCCTCAAGACACCTAACAAGCTCCCTCTCTGCAACCGCCCTCATCCCCTCAATCTCTTCCCTCGTCTTCCGCCTCAACATGACAGGATGCTCCAAAGCAAAAGGACACGCCAGCGCCTCCAGCCTCCTCAACCCATCCAGCGCAGCCATGCCCCTAATCTCACTAGGCCGCACCGCACCTCTCTCCCTCAACGCATTATCCCACGCTCGAGCCGTCGTGAGCTGTCCTAACGCCTCTTGCGGTAGACTCCCCCTGATCCCGTCAAAGTCGCCCGTCAACATCGCTTTACCGAGCAGACCCCCGCTGAGATCCGGATCCCGCCCCGTGCCGCCGCCCGTGTTGCCGCCGACGTCGCCTAGCGACGTGAAGAATTCGTGACAGGGGTGGGAGACGAAGGCGAAGTCGAAGTCGAGGATGGAGGTGAGTTTCTTGGTGGTCGTATCGTAGAGGGTATTGTTCGTAGCTGGTAGAGGAATGTCAGTAAGCTGGATCGGCTTGACGACGAGGCCAGACTTGAGAGGGGCAGTATATAACTTACTAAGATCCCCGTGAATGAGAGCTAACTTCCCAACATCAACCCCAGACCCATCAAGATACCTCTCCAGCCCAGACTCCAAGAACCGATCAACACGCTCCCGCACACCATTCGGCCTCCACCCATCCAGTGCCGGACTCGCATCCGCATCCTCCAGCCGGATTGCCAACCTCGCCTTCCAGAAATCGCTATATCGCTCCCAAGGTCCGCCTTTAACCGTCGTCATCGCACCACCCACGATTCTTCCCGCTTCGTCGATCGACAGCCCCCCGTGGGACTTCACACTCTTCGGCAAGGAAACCCTCTGGATCCCCGTGACCAAATCCGCAATCTGGCCCAGCACATCGCCCTTCTCTCCGTCGTTCATGTCGCGGAAGACGGTATCGAGAGGCACGCCCCTCTTGAACTCCATCAGACTCCACCCGTAACTGCTGCTGCCACCATCGCCCGGCACCCCCGCCTCCGTCCCCGTGATATCGGAAGGACGATAGGGTCTCCAATCATACAACGCCGGCACGAGCCCCGCGATCTCAGGCTTATACGACCCCAAACCCTCTCGCGCGAGGTGAACCGCCGCGACCTCGTTCTCAACGCGGTTGTCTTGGACTACGCCTTCTGCTTTCGGGTTCGCGATGCGCATCACCACGGTAGAAGTGCCTTGCCCAGGGGGAGGCTGGGTGTACGGGCGGCGGCGTTCATGAGGGATGGAGGATGGTGTGAGGGGCGCGGAGAGAGTGATTTTGTAGATGTAGTTGTTGTAGGCGAAGGGTGCTGTTTCATCGTAGTCTATGGGGGTGATGTCGACGGGCTTGAGGGGGTGTTAGATAGAGGTGGGTGATGAAAGGTAGGAGGGAGGGGGGTTTCTTACTTCGAGGCCGTAGCTGTGGATGACGCTCTTGACGAGGTTTAGGCGTTCTTCGTATCGCTCGTGGTTCATGATGTATGGTGAGCGAGATGAGTTCGAGTTGCGGGATAGAGTGAGTGCTTTGGAGTAAGGTGATGGTTCGGCCGGTGTTGATACCTTTCGACTAAGGCAACACGAGAATCTCATGGCTTCTTTAAGTATATCCCCAAGTGAGACGACTCCATCCAACCCTCGTTACACCCTTGCCCAAACAAGAACAGTTGACTCATAAATCTCAGAGAGGAAGGAGTTTAATGCTTATTTCTCATCAACTCTTGTCTTTCTTGTTTGTCTTGTCTTTCTGTTGCAAGGGTCAAGGAACCGCAGGAAGCGAAACGATAGAGCAAACGCAAGTCATCATCGAAGCTTTCCACACATGGATGAACTTAGGGCCTTGCCGCTGAGATGATGCTGAGCTAGACAAATCGGATCAAGTCCGAGACCACTAGACACGTTTACTCCATCGGCCGCTGATCTTAGTTCAGACCATGACATGCAGCCGTAGACTTGCCATGATCCCTGCTAGACCTTTGCTGCCTGGAGGTCATGTCTTGAAACGTTGCAAAGCACGCGTTTCTGCCTAGGCTGTGCCGTAAAGATGCATGAGATAGCGTTTGAAGTCGTTGAACCCAAAGACAAACTCGGGAGACATTACGAAGTATGCGCCGAACGTCAGCTCTCGGCGGTGAGAGGAGGGTGATGGAGAGGCCGTGGTGGGTATGCCCCGCTAATAGATCGGCTCAAATGGGGACTCGCCGGCTCGACCTCGGACGCGGAGGGTCCGGGGGCCATCCTTGCCGCGAGCTGCCGCGCGGAAACTAAGGGCCTGCCAACTGTGACCTTCATGAGTCAACGCAGCCCTCAGGCATCTAACAATCACTGGTTTCGTGGTGTAGTTGGTTATCACGTCAGTCTAACACACTGAAGGTCTCCGGTTCAAGTCCGGGCGAAATCAAACTTTTGCCTTCCGGAAGGCTGTCTTGCTTTTTCCGACCGTGGGGTGAACTTTCGCTATCTACGTTGTTCTTGTCATGTAGTACGGTGGCGTCCTGATATCCATCGTCTCGCTGTACACAAGTTTCAATAACTTTAATGCCTACTAGCTTGTCTCTATTTTTTCTGGTCATAATTGAATAATCTCCACCTCAGCTATCAATTACGCCCACGATCCGCCCAACGACGCGATCCCACTCCTCATCCCAGCGTAAGCTTCCCTCCTTGATGGCTCCCGCCTTCAAGGTCTTCAGCTCGTCCTTGCCGCTCTCACTTAGAAGCCTGATTAGAACGTCGGCCAGCTCAGTAGCCGTCTCAAATCCGCACCCATTCTCACCCTCCTTGATCAGCTCGCCGAAGCTCTCATATGCCGAGTAGGCAGCCACAGGTAGCCCCGAACCAAACATGTCAACCACCTTCATAGGTAAGTCAACACCAGAGCTGGATTTGTGGAGGCAGACACCGAGGTCGGCGCATGAGAGCAGCGTGGCGTACTCGCGGGTTGATAGCCACGCAGTCAAGATGGTGATGCCGGGGAGCTTACCCTCCAGGCGGAGGTTCTTGATCTTCTCCTCGTACTCGGCCTTCTGAGGGCCCTTGCCGGTGATGATGGCCAGAATCGGAGGTCGGCCAACGCCGGTCTCTGTGACGGCCTCTTCGGGGTGCGCGTAGGCCACCAAGGCGTCCAGCAGCAGGCCGAAATCCTCGTCGGGGGTCCATGATGTGCTACTGACAATGAGACGAGTGGTCCCGGCGATGATACTGTCGGCAACGTCCTTGGTCTCCTTGAGATGCGAGAGAAAGTCTTGCCGGGCTTTGGTCGATGCGATGGGCTGGAACACTTCGGCTGGCCGATCGTGCAGGGTGAAGATGGGCTTCTTGTTGCTATACGGCTTCTCCTTGAGCTGCCGTGCCATGGCGTCGGTGACGGTGAGGTTGGCCGTGGGGACTACCCTTCCAAAGTACATCTCATACTTCTTGTAGAGCCATACCAGAGGGTTCTTCTGGCTGCGGCCGGTGGCCATGATGGACCAGCCATAGTTGTGCCAGTCAATTAGCAGGTGGCTTCCTCTCAGGAGGGACACGAGCAAAGCCAGATGCAGCGTCGGGATAGAAGGAGGGTTCTGCAAAAAGTTAGACTGTGGATTCCACAAAGTAACGGCTCACTTGCCTGAATGACAATCCATCGAGCTGGGGGTGCAGTATATGCCAAAACGTAGAAGATGGAATAGGCTTGCCAGACAACTTTGGCCGGCTTATTGATGAGAAACGGCAGGGTGTTCCATTTGAAGACGGTAGGAAGAGGTGGCAATGGGTACAAAGCCACTCTTTCATTGCCAACGAGATCCGGATGGCGGGCAGTCTCCTTGTAACCAACGAGATCAACTCTACCGCCGTGCTTCATGATGCTCATGGCATGGTACTGCATGCGAGGGCTCCGGCCTATATCGCCGAGGACCAGGATCTGGATGTGGTCATCCTTGGGGTTCTCAGCCGCATGGTAGCGAGTGGGCAGCAGCTTTGTGAGAAAGTTGATGCCGAGAGCAGCGACAAGCGTGGTGCAGATGCCAGCGATGACGGATAACACGAGAGGTATCAACGACATGTTGGCGATGTGCGACAGCTCGGGACCAATGTGGCAGGGTATTGACGGCGTAGGCCAGAATGAAGCTTTGTGTCTCCGTTGCCGTGAGTGGTTGAGGTGAGAAATGCGGTGGAGTTTGGAGATGGATCGTCAAGGCCTCAGATGTGGTGGTATCGGTCATGCAAAGTGTCCCGTCCTGTCATCTGAAGTTGCAATCAACAGCCTTAGCGCGTGCGCGCATGGAGGGGTCCGAGTTGAAGGCTGAGCGGTGGGGGGAGTATCCGTGAGTTTCGCTGAGTATCCTTGAAGAGGGAGGGGAGGAGACACGAAGTTGAAGTGTTTTGGTAGGTAGCAAAAAAAGGCCAAATTGCCCAGACTTGCGTGACCTGACGATGGCCTCGTGGGGAACAAATTGGAATCGCGAGCGGCCTACGAAGCTTCTTTACTGGGCTAGACTCGCACACCTTCCAAGACTTTGTCCTTGTTGGCGCCTTCCAACTTGGGCAGGCCTTTTGGGATGTTGCAACGGTGGCGCCAATGAGGGGCCGATGTGGGCGCCATGATTTGATAAGCACGATAACCGCGATAACACGGTGTCACGTGGAGAAACACGCTGAGTAGGTACCTACCCAAGGTACCTCAGTCAAGGTACCTACCTAGGTACGCATTCTTCTGTTCCAGTCTCCGATAACCTCACAACTGGATCATCAGAAAATAAGATGCTGAGGTGCGGCAGACGGTAGCTTCATCACTCTGCAGATCCCCTGCGTGGGTCTGGATCACGATTCACCAATTGTCTAAATTAGAAATCTCCGAACGAGACTTTTCGTCACCCAATTAATGGAAAACCAGCTGCTGCACATGCAAAACCGACACAGACCAACTCAGCCTCAGCACAACAAGAGAGAAGAAAAGACCATTCATGCCTGTCGACTGTCTTGCCCGTGTGCCTGTCACCCAGCGACATCTGAACTCCTCTCACAGGCATTGGCTTGGCCCAGAAAACATGTCGCAACGGGGCTGGCCGCGGATAGCATTAGCAAGTGTTAGCCATCACACCGCCTTACCCGCGACCGTCCCATCAGAGATTATCCGCCCAGACATGCCAGGCAAGCCAGGATCGAGGGTATTGCGTTGTCTTGCTCTTTGCTGATCCGTATCCATACTCTATCCCCTGAACAGCTTTATGCAGCTGCCCAGTGCCCCTCCTGATGGACAATTGGATGGCATCTTTGATGTGTCACCCAGCGAATCACAGACACGACCGCCCTCCTCGACCTGCACCTTACGTACCCGGCGCCCGGCCTCTCCCCACACGGAGAAATCTGCAGGGGTTGACGGCTGAGTTCCCCTTTAGGTTCAGGTCCCAGAAGTCCACGGGTGCGAGAGATTCATCTGAAAGATTGAAAGGAGGCAGCACCCGACATGCCATGCGTCCCGATGGTTCAGCCCAAAAAAACAACAACAACAATAACGCTGCTCCATCCTCCATCATCCATGGTGGCATCTGCTGGCCCATCCCGCCTTTTTGATGACCTGCCGTACCGATACCGATACCTTGCAAGTGGAGGCTTAGGTTGATTGCCTCTGGAAGGTAGCATCGAGGACACTCTTATTGTTCCTCTTCTTCTTCCTCCCCTCTGCATTCAATTCCTTTGCTCCCCTCCCCGCTCCTCCTTTCAGCCACACTTGGTCCTCTTTCATCTTATTAGATCTCCAAGTCTCAGCATTCGACAGCACAAGCGAACCAATCCATTCGTATCTGTCTACCTACTCTCGCCCATTGTCTGTGCGAGGCGCCGGCACGTCCGTCGACGATCAAATCTCCCGTCCCCCTCCAGCGCTCAGCGTTGAACTGCGGCGCGCAACGTCATTGACGGGGCGACTCCATTCCGGCCTTTTTAGCCTGTGCAGGTCCCCTGAACCACCACGCACCGCCATCAACTGCCAGCTCCAGGTCTTCTCAAGGTACACTGGCCCGAACACACACACGACTCTTGCTCCATCATCTTCCAGCTCCACGGTTCTGGACGTCCCACGACACCTCAATTGCGACGCTTTTCAATATCTCGTACCCGTTGTCGACCTGTCTTCGACGTACCCCAGAAAAAAATTAGCGGATGCGGATAACGTCCGGCCCATGACTCAGGTTAGCACAAGATAGGGGCATCTTCGAATAGATCCCGACGCAACGGGCCCTTGGTGGAGAGGCGAACGAAAACGACCCAACGAAAATACGACAGAGGGGACACTACACAGGCCCTTTCCCTCGCCCATCCCCGCCGATACCGACACCGACAACGATCCCAGTCCCGGGTCCCAGACCGACCGACGACCGACCTCGACAACGCGCGCCGCGGTCAACATGGCCTCGTCCTACGCCTTGCCATCCTCCGCTCTGCCGCACGCTCACCATCACCACATGCACTCCCACTCCCACTCGCCGCCGTCCCTTCACGCATTGAAGTCGACAATGTCCACCGGCGGGCTGCACTCCCACAGCCAGAGCCAAGACTCGACCGGCAGCAGCCACGCACATAACCACGATCATTCACACGGCCACAATGGCCACGCCCACGGCGGCCACTCACATCACCGAGCGAACTCGAGCCAGTCGTCCATTCCTCGAGAAAGAGCGGCGCCTCGCTCTCTCGCTTCAATGGACGGCTGGAAGACGGACATCACACCGAGCGGTCGTCAGTTGTTGACGCCTACAAATGGGTCCTTTTCGGAAACGTTCCAGCCTCTTGACGGCGCAATGACGATAGACGAGCATTCTCACGATCATCACGATCACGATCATTCACACTCGCACGACCACGCTCATGGCGATTGCCATGGCCACGACCATCACGGCCATTCACACGCCCACAGCCACAGCCACAGCCACTCCCACTCCCACTCTCACGACCATGCGAAGCCGTCTCTGTTTACGAGGGTTCTCCTGAAATATACGCCGGCGGTTCCGGTCCTCCACACCATTCTCGTTGAGAAGGACTCGAGAAGAATCTTTTACTTCATGACGTGAGTCGGACTACGAAACACTCCACCTTGAGTATCACTGACATTCTGGTTTTCGCAGTCTCAACTTTGGCTTCATGGCCGTACAAGCGTTTTACGGCTACGTCACCGACTCGCTCGGTCTCCTCAGCGACACGATTCACATGTTTTTCGACTGCTTTGCCCTCTTTGTTGGTCTTTGCGCCGCAGTCACTAGCAAATGGCCTCAGAGCCAGCGATTTCCATTCGGGCTTGGAAAGATCGAGACACTGAGTGGTTTCGCCAATGGCATCTTGCTGATGTAGGTTTCCCAGGCTGCAGCACGAGTCACAACGCTGACAAATGATAGGCTTCTTAGCGTTGAGATTATCGTGGAGGCGTTTGAGCGAATTTGGGAAGGTCAAGAACTTCACCGATTGCGGGAGCTTCTCATTGTTAGCTTCCTCGGCGGTGTCATCAACCTGCTGGGCCTTTGGGGCTTTGGGCACCATCACCACGGCCACGACCATGGCCACGGCCACTCGCACTCACACGATGACCACGACCACGGGCATGATCATTCGCACGGAAAGAAGCATAGCCACGGGCACTCGCATCATAACGACAACATGGAGGGTATTTTTCTGCATGTTCTGGCCGATACGATGGGAAGCGCGTCCGTAGTGCTGTCGACAATCTTGACGTACTACACGGGCTGGACGTTTTGGGACCCCTTGGCCTCTTGCGCCATTGCGATCCTGATTTTCCTCGCGGCGATTCCGCTCATCAAGTCGTCCGCGCGCAACCTACTTCTCAATATCCCCGACGACATTGAGTACAACCTGCGTAATACGCTCGCGGGGATTTTGCAGCAAAAGGGTGTCGTTAACTACTCGGTGCCCAAGTTCTGGATGGACCACCGGAGCAGCGAGGACTCGGGGGACAAGCTGCAGGGCATCGTGCACGTCGTGGCGGGGAGAGGTGCGAGCCTAGACGAAGTACGGGATCGCGTGCGGGAATACCTCTTGAAGAACTCAATGGACATTGTAGTCCAGGTTGAAAGAGAAGGCGACGGCAGCTGCTGGTGCGGCGTTGGAAGGTCGACGGGATTGGCCACGACACCCCTCAAGAGGGCATTTTAGAGAAGCGAAATCCGACCCCCTTGACGACGATTTTTGAGATATTGGCAATCCCGGACGAACGAACGAAGCGGGAGTGAGAGTAGAGTGTCTGGTCTATTTTTCTTGTGTTTCTTCTTCATTGACTAGACAGCGGGACAGAAAGCGAAGACGAACCGCATAGAGGCTTGGTGCTAGAGAGACCCCGATTTTGGTGACGGGGTTTTACGCGGTCGGGCTCTTTCTTCTTCCTTCTAGGAGTCACGGAACGTTTATACATCAGGCAAGTCGCATCACGGAAGGCATTGCGAAACGGCCATTCAAGGAGACATTTTTTGTATGAGTAGAAGAAGCAAGTGCATACACATGGTTTTGCGCGAGGGGTGGCGATGGAGAACATGGAGAACAAAAAAGCTTGATACCCTTGAGGCTAACGTTATCGCGCACCTATCTTACTTGATGAATTCTGTGAATGCTCCGCCGACCCGAGGTGGCCTGTAAGAACTATGCTATACGAGCGTGTGACGTCTCGCAACGAGGGCAGTTCTCCGTCCGCCCGCGTGGGGGTTGAGCTGTCACTTGGTGTGTGAGGTACATTGGCACGCGGGGTTTGACCATTGCATGGCCAGAATGGCTGACGTTATGGCGGAAGAGAGTTATGTTTGTAGCCTGCAGAATCTGGCATTCAAGGTTCGAGGCAGAAGTTTGAGAAATCGAATACTTCGGCAGCGAGCCGAGATGCCTTTGTCGAGGGGACTGTTGTTGGTGGCTGTTTACTCGCCGGCCGACGTCGACTTTGTTTACTTGGACGAGACGAGATTAAGAAGTCAGGCGAGGGGTTTTGTGCGACTCTGTAACTCGTCTCGGGAATGTGGTCTCACTTCAAGGTCCTTGTAAGGCGGGTGTATTTCAGGGAGAGGGAGATGGGCGTTTTGTGCACGCTGACCGGTGATGGCATTGGGACATTGGGAAATCACATGAAAGTAACACCAACTGTCTGTGTGTGTGTGTGTTTATGGGAATTGACTTTCATCCCAATCTTCCTTCAGACCGTTTACACGATTACTAGCCAACGGGTACACATTATAGTTTGCATCACATAAGCATTTCAATAGCATCAATGTAGAAGCCACCTATGATTATTCGTCATCGCCATCTTTCTGCATACGCGCCGGTCTAATTATGTACCTTTGGTAGGTATTGCTCTGCAGGATGAAGAAGTAGCAAAATACAGAGCACCCCGCTAAAGCAAGGCCCCGATCTAGGCCCAGGTCCTCCCCCCATTTCCCCCTCCTTTTCCCTCTCAAGTTTCCTCCTTTCCCCCAGAAAGCCCGCCCGGACCGGAGCAGCCCTTGGTAAGGTACGGAGTAAGTACCTGAAAGTAGCGGGATGGGCAGCTCATGTGGTGGGAAAAGTTGGGGGGAAAAGGAGCCCTGGCACCACAATGAGCCGAACGACCGAGGCACCCGACCATTACACCGCACTACAGTACCTATTGTATGTACACCGCACCGCTATGCCGCCAGCGCCAAGTGCCACCTCAAGAGTTGGAGGTTGCTGCAGTTTCATCCCGCGTCGCTGGGATGAGCTCTCGAGTCAATTGCCCGTAGGAACCTAGAGAAAAGACGATGGTCTGTCCTCTTTTTGGATGCAACCGGCCACTTGTCACGTCCCTCTTTCCTTGACGTTTTCCTCATTGAACCTGCAAGCAAGTCATTACCAAATAAAAATCATCACAAGCCAATTCCAAAAAGAATCTGGGGAATTTCCTACTTCGAGTGGATAAGGTACCTCCTCCGTAAGGTACACAAAATTCCCCATACTCCGGCTACAAGTGGAGACTCCCAAACCCCCCAATTGGAGTGTTGCCGAGGCTCAAACGACTGACGTACCGCAACCGCAGCGAGCTACCTCAAGGTACCAGGTCTCCCGCCATTGAAGTGGTCTCTCACTCCCTCTCTCCGATCCGACCGCGCACCGCCCTCTCCAACGGACGACCGAATCCAAAACTGCAACTCCAACTACTAGTTCCCGAACGCACGAATAGTTGCAAAAAAAAGAAGAACTAGCAACCCAGAAACTGCACCAGGAACGGACCGCACGGTGGTAAAGGCACGCATTGGATCGCATCACAGCTTCGCGCCTAGGGCAAGCTACCGGACATCAGCAACAAAGCCAGAGAAGACGGGGAAACCCAGAGCACGTGAAAGCTCCCCCTTCCTCTCCCCAAACACTCTTCTCACCCACGACAACCATCTCACGACAACCTCCTTCTCGCCATCCACACAAAACCTTCCCCTCCTCCCTTCTCCAATCCTCCTAATCAACCCAGGGTCCCCCCCCCCCCCTTCCACCCTCCCTCAAAATGGCACCCTCCCCAACAGAAGCAACAAAATCCCTAAACCAAACCCTCCAAACCTCCCTCCCGACCCCCGTCGCCGACGCCGTCCCCCGCCTCCCCGAATCCAAAGACGAGCTCAAAGCCGACACGAAAGCGGCGGCCTCGGGCCTCGCAACCCAGCTCCGCTCCCTCGCGGCAGGCGGCTTCGGCGGCGTCTGCGCCGTCGTCGTAGGCCACCCCTTTGACCTCGTCAAGGTCCGCCTCCAGACCGCCGACAAGGGCGTCTACTCCTCCGCCATCGACGTCGTCCGCAAGAGCGTCGCGCGCGACGGCCTGCGGAGGGGTCTGTACGCCGGCGTGAGCGCGCCGCTCGTGGGCGTCACGCCAATGTGTATGTTTCTCTCTTCCTACCTCCCTCCATGTACGTCTCAGCTAACCCATCTCTTCCACCCCCGACAGTCGCCGTCTCCTTCTGGGCCTACGACCTAGGCAAGACCCTCGTCCGCACGACCTCCTCCGCCCCCGACGCCCCCCTCACCATAGCCCAGGTCTCCGCCGCGGGCTTCTTTTCCGCCATCCCCATGACCGCCATCACCGCCCCCTTCGAGCGCGTAAAAGTCATCCTCCAGGTCCAGTCCCAGCGCCTGAAGCCCGGCGAATCCCCCAAATACAAAGGCGGCGCCGACGTCGTCCGCCAGCTCTACGCCGAGGGCGGGGTGCGCTCCGTCTTCCGCGGCTCCGTCGCCACCCTCGCGCGCGACGGCCCCGGCAGCGCGGCCTACTTCGCCGCCTACGAGTACATCAAGCGGCGGCTCACCCCCAAGGACCCCGTCACGGGCAGGCCCTCGGGCGAGCTGAGTTTGCTTGCTGTTACGGCCGCCGGCGCGGCGGCGGGCGTGGCGATGTGGATCCCCGTGTTCCCCGTCGACACGGTCAAGTCGCGCCTGCAGACGGCCGAGGGGAACGTCACGCTCGGCGGCGTGGTGCGCGAGGTGTACGGTCGCGGGGGCGTCAAGGCCTTCTTCCCTGGTTTCGGACCCGCGCTGGCGAGGGCCGTGCCCGCGAACGCGGCCACGTTCCTCGGTGTCGAGTTGGCGCACCAGGCTATGAACAAGGCTTTCAACTGAGAGGGCGAGAGGAGGTGTAGGAAGGGGGATAAGATGGTGTGTGGTTCGAGTTCGTGAGAAATTGAGCAGGACAAAGATGAAAAGGGGGCTTCGGTGGTGGAATACGAAGAGGGAGTACACGGGGGGGGCGTTCCTAGATGGAGGCATACTCGTCATAAAGCTCTTACACTGAATAGTCTCGAGATGTTTTCCCTTGTGTCATGCCTAAACAAGACTAGAAGCGAATTATTCAATATTTCACTCATGACACAGCCTCGAATTCCTCTCGCACAGATATAGACACCCGCGTAAACAAGCAACTGCAGTTTGAACTTTTTTGTGTAATTTTATTCATCTATGCTATCCATCCATGCCTTCATAACAACTATTTGGTGGCTGTTTTTGGGGGGGAAACTTCAAAAAAGGCAAAACCCTCCTGCTAATGCCCCCCTCCCTACTGCGCTATTAAAAATGATATCATGCTTTGGAGCCACTCCAAAACTTTTTGTCCCTACGCAATGCCATAATGAAGATGAAAAAAGTAGAGATTTGTCCTTTTGCCGCCCAGATGCAGGCGTAACAGCGCTGTTGTGATTGTGTGCGCTTTTCCGCTGTAAGATAAAACTTCCATGCTGTATGATGCCATCCTGTCCTTTGAGGATGTTCGTACGCTTCATTCCATGAGATAGTCCAACGCCGCGTCGCAATGCAATCGTCTCTTGAAGCAGCCCATCAACCGCGCTCGTTCACGGTCCAACGCCGCTTCGAGGTCGTCATGTCGCGCATAATTTCAGTCTCCCCCAAAGGGCGCGGCGCTCCCCATAGACCCCCGCTGGCAAATGTCCCCAACTGAGGAATCTTGTTCTCCTCGTCCGTGCCGTCGCTCGAAGTAGGACGAGAGATCTCTTGCAGTCTGAGGGGGACCTTTGCCGGGCCACCCAGCTGCGGCTCCTTTCTCTCTGGAGTCGGAGGCTTGACAATCTCCTGGCCGGGCTTGGAAAGGGCGGCCAACTTCTTCCGGTGGTCAAAGTCCGGAAAGATGTCGTCCTCCTCGTCCTCCTCCTCTTCCGTCTCCTTCTTTGGTGTGATTGGCGACCACAGCCCCACGGACAAGGTCGGTGATGGCTTCGTAAAGTTTGTTGCGCCGCTGCCGACCGTGATCCCGGTCGTATTGAGCGCGGGCGTCCTGGGAAGGGAGTATGTGTTATTCGAAACCCGGCGCATGCTGCCCAGATTTGCGTTTGCCGAGTTGCTTCTACTTCCAAAGTCAAACGAGTCGGGGTTGAATGTGATCGGCGTCGGCGTATATGTGGTCGATCCTACGGTCGAGATGCGCCCTCGCGAGTATGACTGTCCGTTTTGTGAGTGATTTGAGGCTGTCGAGGGAGCTCTGGATAGATTGTGGGTGGCCGAGACAGGCTGGCGCAGATGCTCGGTGTTTGCAAATAGTTTGAGATCGTAATAATGATGGACGGGGATGATTCCTTTCGTGCCGGACATTGGGTCGACGTCAGGTTCCGACATGGGCGTATCCAAGCCGGAGGGCTCCGAGTCGCGACCGGGCTTTCTGGCGGCCACGGTCAGAGAAGCCATCGCCACGTCCATCAGGACCGGCTGGTGCGTAATGGCGCCGATCAAGGCGTTGCAACCGGCACCGTGAGATACCAGGATGACCACCGGCTCTACATCGTCGTCTTCCTCATCATCGATAGCACACTCGGTGTCACCATTTTGGGAGGTCTTGACGACCTTGGTGACCATCTCCGCGGGACGCTCAGCCGTAGTGTACCAGTCCACCAGCTTCTGAATACCCTTCCTAAATCGGTGGTGCATGGCTGTCCACTCCTCACCGTACTTGCCACCATCGCCCCAGTCCAGAGGCTCCCGCATCGAATCCCATTGGTAATCTACTGACACGCAAGCATCTCGCGCGTGCGCAACATAGCCGTCGGGGATGGTGTGGTTTGGTGAAATAGCGTAGTGGGGACTGGGGGCGACATATCCGTCATTTGGGTTCGCGGGCTCTGGCAGTGTGAAACGAACGCGCTGGCTTGAGGTGCTAGCCGTACTGCCAGCCCGACTCCGCGGCAGAGCACCAGCCACGGCAGATACGTTTTCGAGACCCAGGATGGAAGGTGAGTTGGAATCCGAAGATCCAGACCTTTCGGGGGCGGGAGCGGGGGCAGCTCTGAACTTTGGGCTGTTCCACAACTGACTCTGGGCTTGGCCGACGGAATTTGCGTGGTGATGGGAGTGCTCTTGGATGTGGTTGTGGGCGTGAATGTTCTCCCGTCTGAGCAGATCGGCCTTTGCTCCAGCCAGCATCATCGCGGAACCCGGAGGCGGCGTAATCATTTCAAAGTATTCCGGGGACAGCCACTCCCCCAAGAAGGCATCCAGGCGCAACGTCGATTTCTTGATCATCTTCTTCCTGGCCTGCTCGGGCTTGGTACCGTTCGCGTCGTTCGAGAGGGGATCGACTTCCTCAGCTACGGACGCTGGGAGAACAAAGGGTGAGGCTGAAGGGTTCGCGCTGGGCGAGGGCATCGAGTACGAGGGCGTACCGGGCGGAGGCGCCTGGGCCAGGCCCGCGCTGATGGCGACGGAGGTTTGGACGCATCGCAAGAACGGGGAGCTATGGAGGACAACCTTGAACTTGCGGCGCCTCTTTTGCGAGTCGACAGAGCCATTGCGGCCGTTGGAGAACTTGGAATCGGCATTGACCTCTGCTTCGGCCTGTCTCAGTATGTTTCCAATGCGTATGCCGAGTGCTTTGGCTTGCTGCCAGCCGCCGTAGGTCAGAGGAGGGTCGTAAGGTGTCGGGGACGTGAGATGCCACTTCTTGTCGGCGGCGTCGAGACGTGCGCCATGCCTAGTAGTCTCGTCAGCCTTCCAGAAGCTTGCAAGCGTGGGTTGTGAGAAGGTCCTCTTACCTGACGACGAAAATGTACGCCGGTGGGCGCCCCATGTTGTCGGCGACGCAGGTGAGAATGCGAAAGCCCACTCAGGATATGTGCAGTAGTCGGCCGGCGTGGGGAGGACTAGGTGAAAAGATAACGGCGTATGTGACAACCTCTCACAGCGTAAGAAATACGGACGGGGGATCAAATAACGATGGGTGGGAATGCGGCTAAAGACACCATCCAAGACTTTGCGGACCTAAAGGATCGGATGGCTTGGGTAGGCGGAATAAGCTTCGATGTGCCGGCGGCGGAGGACCGAGAGGGCACGGGCAAAGGTAACAGACTAAGTTGCAGATGGTCGGGATGGTTTTGGTAGTTGATGCACTTGGGAGCGTTCAAGTTGTGATATTTCGGGATGGACGGAGTTGATGTGAGGACAAGCTGGAAAGAAAGACAGGTTGAGTAATCAGAAAGACGGAACGAGTCGAGAAAGTAGAGAAGGCAAGAAGGCGAAGAAGAAGCAGCGAGGTACTGGCAGAGAAGTAGTAGGCAGGCAGGCGGAGGAGGTGGAGGGCCTGGCAGGCGGATTTCAGAATTTCTGCCACGAGTTTTACGTCGGTCATCCGGTGTTTGGGTGCCCCTCTCTCCGTGTCCGACCAGTTGGCACCGACTTCGCAAGCGCTAAGATGATGGGACTATCCGTAACAGACTAACAGCAAGTAGGCAGATGGAGACCGTTGACGAGCATGCCATCGGTCGGTCAGCGGGCGGTGGAGATGGAGGGAGAGAAGAATGAAGGTGGAGCGGAGCGGTCGTGGAGAACCTGCCTTGAGATGCAATCAATCGGCACCGAGTCGCGACAAACGGGCCAGGCTTGGGGAGGGTCAATAAATGTATTAATTTGCGATCGGATCCCGCCCAGGCCCAGGTACCCAAGTATCGAGCCAGGTATTGAGGTAAGGTCTCCAGGTACGGATACAAACAGGGGATGTATTTATGTACGCAGTACGTACGGATATGTATGTATGTATGGTCCAGGCGCAGGTGCAGTCGCAGCCGCAGTCAGTCAGTCGTGCAGGTTGCAGAAGGCACAAAAGAAAGCAGCCTCAGGTACGAAGCATTCAAAGGTACATGACGGATATGTAGAACAGTGACAGAGGGTAAGGTAGGTAGGTTTTTCAAGGGTTGTCAAAGGCGGGGCAGATTCTCCTCTTCTGCTTTTCTGCCTTTCTGCTTTGTCTTCTGGTCAGGGTCACATACACAAATCGTAAGTGCAAAGACACAATGATGCAAGGACTCGGAAGCGACACATCTCAGAGACTCACACCCTCGCCAATACGGATCATCGTGGACAGCCCACCGGCTACACAAGAATCGTCAAGGGTCAGACGATGGTCCTATAGTGGTGTGGTGATGCCGGGTGCGTCAGTGAGGGGGAGAAGAGTTGGAGGAGGGCGAGGTACCTTGCTGAGGGTTGGAGGGGTAGCAGAGGCATAGGTAGGTTTGGCGAGTGACAGGCCGGGAAGACACTGCGAGCCGGCGAGGGAGGGGGTTGGATTGTCACTGCCATTGCCGAACATACACAGTACTGTATACCTATCTGCGCCCACCTATGAGGTACCTATGAGGCACCGCTGCTACTTTGAGCATCTCGGAGACGAACCAGACACGAGACAAGGTCTTGCATGTCTGTTACGCCAGGCGCGTCAGCCGTTGCTACCTTAGCTTGGGTAGTCTTTACTCTTCAGGAGGGGTCGCTGCCATGGATGACGGAGCGGTGCAGAATGCAACGAAAAAAAGATTCATTTCCTTGCCTCTTTGCTCTCTGTCACTCTGTCACTCTGCGGTGTGGAAAATGTGCATGTGATTGTCCCGCTCTCGCTTTTTAGCGCCAAACGTAATCACGGCACGTGGGGAGACAGGAAAATTTTAGACGAGCAGAAGACGAAGAAGACTTCCTTCCTTGCTGGCAATATCCGAAAATGCTAGGTGCTAAGGCCCGGTCTACGAGACGAATAAGCTTAAGTAATCAGACTCCAACTGCCCGACACTCTCGTATGGCGTCTTTCGTCTTTTCTCCTCCATTCCCAAGCAAAAAGGCAACAAGTACTCCGTACCTACCAGGGGCAATCAAACCATAAGCTCTGAGCATTCCAGTGCCCCCAGATGCCTTTGTTTGGCCCATTGGTGCATTCTTTGTATTTGATGCATTCTTTGTACTTGATCACGAGTTCCCCGGCCCGTATGCAAACAGTATAGCCGCCGTGCATGTTTGACTCAAATCACACGATGCTGACGCAACTCATCAAGCTGACCATGATCAGCTTTCCCTTGCCAGCTGCCAGCTACTCCCGGCGACCAGCCCGAAGCATGAGCGGCACCGCGGCACCGCGGCAGAGACTCACCACCTCGGACATGAATCCTCCGAAGCTATCCAGGTTCCGCTCGCCGCTCGGTCCAACGCCCCGTCCAGATCCGACCTCCTCCACATTAGCATCTCATGGATAATTAATGGATCCTTTCACCTTGATCCCTTGTCCGGAGGAACCCCACCAGCCATTTCTGGCGTAGGCCATAGGTTCTCTGGTTCGACAGTCAAACAGCACTTCGTTAAGCCCTGAGATTCAGAAGAGCTAATCCCCGCAAAGCAAGAGTGGCCTGTGCAGGGCGGCCGCCAGAACATCTCCCAATTACCTAAACTTCAAAGTACCCCAAAGTACTGAATAAACCGTCATGCATGAATAGACCGGGTGACTCTTCAGAATGTCGCCGGCCAAGTGACTCAAATATACAAAAGTTCTTTTTGGTTCAGCAAACAAGTCAAAATGTCTCCGAGCACAGATAACCTTAAAAGCCAATATCGCATTGGAGGCTGCGGGTAACTTGGAGGGATACACCCAAATCTGATACACTTCACTGCTCGTTACCCCAGATTCCAGATCAAACGAACGCCACTACACCACCTACATCTCATCCCCACGTATCACCAGAGTATCGGAACACAGCAACTTGCCCTTGAGTCTATAGTCACCACCTAGGAATTGAATAGAGAAACCCAACCCAAACCACAAAATGGCAACTGCACCCAAGGACCAGCAGGACTCGGCAGACATCAAGTCCCGCCTCAAAGAGTCCTACGACACCATCGCCACCGAATACAACGAATGGACCCTCCGCCAGACCTCCCTCCGCATCGAGTACCTCGAGAAGCTCATGGAGAAGCTCCTCACCGCGAAGCCCCTGTCGGGCCAAATGTCTCTCGTCCTCGAGCTCGGCTGCGGCTGCGGCCTCCCCGTCACCGAGAGGCTCCTCACCGCGCCCGACACCTACGTCACCGCAAACGACCTCTCCACCACCCAGATCGACGTCGCCCGCAAGAACCTCGCCAAGCACGGCACCGACCGCGTCTCCTTTGTCGAGGGCGACATGATGAAACTCGAGTTCTCCGAGGGGTCGTTCGACGCCGTCATTGCCATGTACAGCATCATCCACCTGCCCCGCGAGGAGCAGACCGAGATGATCCGCCGCGTCGCCAAGTGGTTGAAGCCCGGCGGCCTGCTGCTCGCCAACTTTGCGTCAAAGGACTTGCCTGCCGTTGTGAATGAGGAGTGGCTCCACGAGAAGGGGTGGATGTACTGGAGCGGTTGGGGCGCTGATGCGACTGTGGAACAGCTCAAGGAGGCCGGGTTGGAGGTCATTATCAGGGATATCGTCGATGACAAGGACGACGCCGAGTTCCTCTGGGTCATGGCGAAGAAATGAGCAGCGCCTATTCACATGATTTTTGTCGTTTCAACTTGGGTTCCGGAAAATTCAACATCAAGCGGACATCAGAGGCATCCTCCTATCATGTCAGTATACCTATGTAAACTACAAGACGGGATATCAAGGGTTGCCCACGTCGAGGTACCTTGTACTTTGAACTGGTGGGGTTTCGCTTCTTTAAGCAAGTACTTTACGGTATCTTGCGGTTTCTCAATGTCTTATATAGCAAGACGTTGATGGTCTAAAAGTACACAAAGTCAATTGAACATTTAATCTACTTGATGATTATTCTTCGGCTACAGTCTACACATCATGAAATCCTAGATTGCTCGGTGGCACTGTGAGGTACTAAAGCATGGTAAAACAATCAGATCGCTTCCAAATGGCGGGGAGAACTGGTACCTGAGCCACACTGCGCTACCCCGGTCAAAGAGGCAAGGGCAATGGCCTGTGCCCCAGAGAACCGATCGGCTTACTAAGGCCAATTTTGTCAGGGCGAAGCTCCGTGGCGGGCCCCCTTACCAAGCTGTTGGTTAACCATTTCGATCCGTCGTGGGATTCTTTCGTTTCCACTCGTCTCCCTTGCGACGACAATTCACGAACTTGTTTTACCTCCCCGCCATTCGCGACTTCATTGATTCGAATCACCATCATCATGAAGCTGTCACGATTTCTCCAGTTGCCAGCCCTCCTGGCTGCCTCGACCCTCGCCCCCGCGGTGCTCGCCGAGCACACCAGCAACTGGGCCGTCCTCGTCTGCACATCGCGATTCTGGTTCAACTACCGCCACCTCGCCAATGTGCTCTCCATTTATCGCACCGTAAAGCGCCTTGGCATCCCCGACTCTCAAATCATCCTCATGCTCCCCGACGACATGGCCTGCAATCCGCGCAATGCCTTCCCCGGAACCGTCTACAGCAACTCGGACCGTGCTGTCGACCTGTACGGCGACAACATCGAGGTGGACTACCGCGGCTACGAGGTCACTGTCGAGAACTTTATCCGTCTGCTTACCGATCGCGTCGGCGACGAGATGCCCCGCAGTAAGCGCCTTCTGACGGACGACCGAAGCAACATTCTCGTATACATGACAGGCCACGGTGGAAACGAGTTCCTAAAGTTCCAGGATGCCGAGGAGATTGGTGCTTTCGATCTGGCTGATGCCTTTGAACAGATGTGGGAGAAGAAGAGGTGAGAGGATACCCAGGTGCATATGTGCTACTGCGACGACATTTACTGACTGCTCCTCCCTCAGATACCACGAGATCCTCTTCATGATCGACACCTGCCAAGCGAACACAATGTACAGCAAGCTCTACTCCCCCAACATCATCGCCACCGGCTCCTCGGAGCTCGACCAGTCCTCCTACTCGCACCACGCCGACAACGACGTCGGCGTCGCCGTCATCGACCGCTACACCTACTACAACCTCGAGTTCCTCGAATCGCAAGTCCAAGACCTGAGTTCCAAGAAGACGGTCGGCGAGCTCTTCGACAGCTACACATACGAAAAGATCCACTCCCACGCCGGCGTGCGCTACGACCTCTTCCCCGGCGGCGCCGACGCCGCGCGCAGCCGCCGCATCACCGATTTCTTCGGCAACGTGCAGAACGTCGAGGTCGACGGCGCCAAGAACATGGTTCTCGACGAGGAGCTGCTGGAGCTTAGCCAGAAGATTGCCGCGCTGAAGCAGCGGGCTCAGGAGGCGGATGCGGCGGCCAAGAATGCGTCGTTGGCGGAGGGTGCAAAGGGCCAGACGCCGGATGTCAAGACGAGGGCTAAGAGGGTGCAGATGGCGAAGCCGCTCACGAATGAGAATTGGTGGGAGAAGAAGATTATTGGAGTCACGGCCTTGATCGGTTGCGCGCTTCTATGGGCTTTGGGGTCGTATTATGAGGCGCCAAAGAGGAAGGCCGATGATTCTAAGATGGCGACGGGGCAGAATGGCCGATCCACCGTGAAAGCGTAATCGTGTCGTCTTTTTTTTTCTCGTTTTCTTGTACTTTATGTCTTTAGTTGACTTGCACGAGGTGCATTAAGCATGGCGTTTCTTGGGATATGGAAGGGAATGGTTCACTCATAGCTTGGGAGCTGGTTTAGGCTCTATCAATCATCAGCAGTCATGATTTCTTCAAGCACGAGAAGAAATTCTATACATTGTTCTGTATGCTCATCCTTCATTTTTATGTCAGTTGAACAGCACCCCTTATCCAATGTTTGGCTGTTGTTTGTGTTTACGCATTTATCCGAAGTATTTCCATGCAGGTCGTTCCTCACCTCTCCTCACCGAGCCTTTCACCGAGGTGTTTTCATCCACTCTAAAATCTTGCTGGGCAAAGTCAATGCTTTTGACGACAGTCCATCAACCCCCATACATCCTTCATGGAGAGACGTAGACATCCCGTAATCTGCGAAAATGGATAGCTCAAAGGTTTGTATAGGAATCTCCTTCCGTTCTGGTGCTTCTAGATTGGTCCTTCCGCGGCATACTGTGCTCCTTCTCAACTACATCCCGCGCTTACAACGGGTCCCCTTACCTTACTGTGGCCTCGTGTAAGTGACAGGTGGAACACTGTCGTTCCTCATTGCATCATCCCCCGAGAACTTATCGTATTGCCGCGCTTCTCTCACTCACCGGCACTACGTACCTTGTCTTCTTGCCCACCCCAGCAACCCTCTCGCAAGTTAATCATACACTCACCTCAACATCGTGATCTTTCATCTCACACAAAGGCTCGTCATTTCCCTTTATAAACCATTATCAGCCCTCTATGAGCGGTAGTCTACTCATACAAATCCTATCTGCCCGCTGAAGTCAGCAATCATGGACGACATCATCGCCCTTTCCAAAACCCTCACCCTCAACCCCAGAAACCACAACCAACCACTAACACCCTTGGACGACGACCAGATCCCACCCCTTAAAACCCTCACCCTCAAATCCAGGCCCCTAGCAAGCCACGCTCTCACCTTCTCCTGCGACGCCGAACTCGCCGTCGCCGCAGACGACTCAATCCACGTCTTCCTCCCCGAGTTCCCAACCCCAGAAGAACCGAACGCCAAGCAGGATCCATCCAAAGACGACAAACAAGATGGCCAGGCAACAGCACCAGCAGATGAAGACCCCGCAGGCGTAGCAGCAGCAGCCCTCGCCGCCGCCGCCGCAGACGCCAAAGACGGCGAAAAGCTCTACCGCCAACAATTCTACACCTTCCAGCTCCGCATACCCACCTCCCGCAAACCCGACCCGCGCATGAACGCCGCGCTCTTCGCCGCCCGAGGCCTCCCCGTCCCCTCCTACGACGACGACTGGGCCGCCGGCGAAGCTGCTGCCGGCGGCCCCGGGGAAGCAGCAGTCCCGGACCCCTCCTCCGCATTCGAGGGCGTCGGGTCGGGCACGGTAACAGGCTACGGCGCCTCGCTGAACCAAGTCGTGGCGATAGAATGGTCCCCCGGAAACCTAGGCCGGAATCTGAGGGCGGTGCTGACCGTGATGCTGACCAACGGCGCGCTCCTCGTCATCGGCGAGGGAAGCGGGGGCGGAGGCGGTAGTACCAGCCACGGACCCGTCGACCTCGGCGCGCGGATGAGGAACTTTCGGGACTGGCGGATCTTGTGGGGTGTCGGCGCAAATTTACCGCTGCCGGACCCGGATGCCGAGGAGGGCGGCGACGAAGGGTCGCATCTGCCGCGGGACAAGGTCAGGTCGTTTGCGTGGGCGAGGATGGTTGGGACGGGGCAGGCGCTGTTGGCGTACGCAACGGATCTGGAGGAGGTTGTGGTGTTGAGTGCGCAGTATTATCTACCCAACGAGATGGATGATGCTTCGGATGCTGGGTCGTATGTGTGGGAGGTGGAGGAGGTTGCGAGGTTTGATGGACGGGGACCGCATCCTAGCTTGGGCGTGAGTTCTCACTCTTTCCCTCCCTGTTCACGACTTCCCAGAAAAGTTTCTCTTCTCCTGAAGGTATGTTTGCTGATGCTGCATAGGTCCTGGACCCGGATTACATCCCCTACACCTCAGCTTTCTCCCTGAAATGGAGCCCCTGGCTACATTCAGGCGACACCCGCACCGCCATTCTGTCCTACTGCGCGAGAAACTACGTCGGCTTCCGCCGCATCACGATCCCCGCGGACTGGAAGCGCGGCGCGGCCGTCGAGATCGCCGTCGAGGAGTCGGACGTCACGGGCATCTGCACGAACCTGCTCTCCGACGCCTTTGTTGAGTGGGAGGACGCCGTGTGGGACCGGGACGACGTCAAAGTCTGCAGGGGCGTAATCGCGTCCCCGTTCAAGGCTTTACCGTTCCAGGTGGCGCTGAACGGGCCCGAGGGCACGGCCAAGGAGCCTCATGGGACGGGGGTTTGCAAGACGACGTTTCCGGAGGATACGACGTCCCTGGACGCTACGAATCCGATTACGAGTAGGGTTCTCCCCTTCTTACAGACGTTTATCACCGCAGTAAAGCTTACAATGTCGATAACCCAGGCTTGATAATCCACCCCCCAAACCTTTCCAAACAAACCAAAGCCCCAGGCTACTCCCTCATCCGCCTTTCCGCCACAGCCACAAACGATAATTGGTTCCAGCAAAGCACCGCCGACGGCGCCGCCTCGCCCTCCCCAGATTCCCTCCCCAAATGGGCCGAAACGATCTCCTCGACCGTCAAGCTCTCTGTTCCCGTCACCATGCTCGGCCGCGGCGGTGGCGCCGGAGCGGGTGCCGTAGGCGGGGATGGCGAATCCGTTGCTTCAGGAGATGATTCAGACTCAGAGGACGACGACGACGATTTCGATTTGCCCGAGGACGCGGGCGAGCAGATTCATCCGCACCGCGTGCGCATGTGGGGTATGACGATGACGCCTGCGGGCGGGATGAGCGCCGTGTTAGTGTCGCAGCATAGTACGCAGAAGCCGGAGAAGACCGTCAAGACCAAGGTCATGTTTGGGGGACGGGTCGGACATGGGGCTGTGACTGCGGTGACAACGGCGGCAGGTGAAGGCGATGAGATGGATGTTGACGGAGGGGACGACAGTGGTAGGGCGAGCCGATTGCGGTACTGGGAGAAGCAGAGCACCGAGGCCAAGATGTGGGATTGGATGTATGCCGGCGGACCTGCTGTTCCCGGAACGCTGTGGGCTGGTATCGGAGACGAGGCGAGGGCGAGGGATGATAACTCGTTGAAGAAGAGGTTTGAGGAGGTCAAGAGGAAGCAGACATGTGTGTTTTGTCATGCTTCTCTTGTTGACGAGGGGAAGGAGTCGATTTGCGAAAAAGGGCATATCTTTGGTGGGTCTTGCTTCAATATCTGTCTCAGGGGGTTCGTTCTCAACTAACGTTGACAATAGCTACCTGTGCGTCAACCGGCCTCGCAATCCTCGCGCCTGGCATCTCGAGAGCTTGTGCTGTTTGTGGTCTGCGGTGTCTTGTGGCTAAGGAGGTGGTCAAGATTGCACAGGAGCACATGGGCCCGGATGCCAAGGTCGATGCGTCTGAAGAGGCGTGTGGTGGGTGTGGCGGCAAGTTCGTGGTGTAGACAGGGGAAGCGCGCTTCTTACGATACCAAGGGAGACCGATGTCCAAATAGAGGTAACCGGTGTAAACAAACTTCAGCCTCGCTGTATCATTGAGACCCAGAAAGACGGGATGTTCTCCTTGGACCCGCGTGACCCTAGCCAGCTAGCTACCCTGGAGGCATCTCTGGGTTCACGTCAAGCCTCACAATGACACATTGAGACGGTTAGGCGAAAAAGGGAAAGGCTGAAAGTAGAAAAAAAAGTCACTGTTCCATGATTCGAACTCGGAACCTTCAAAAATAGAAAGCCACCGGGGTCAATTACCTAGCGCTGAGGTCGGGAGAGGGCATCAGTCCCAACTATTACGCCAAAGGCATCTCCTCATCCGATGGGTGACAGTTTTAGCAATCTTCTGACTTATAGATCATACCCGGTGACTGTATGGCCGGCCCCTTCTGTAAAGTACCTAAGGCAGGCAGGTGCTTCCCGTCTCTTCCTCCTTCCTCCTTCCCGTCTCATCCACATCCACACACGATACGTACCTACCTTACCTCTCCGACCCTTCATCCGATAACCTTTTCCACCACCCGAATACACAAAAAGCCTTCATATACCCCTTCAAGTCCATTCCCGTCACCAGCCAGCAGGCGCCCCCCTAGGTCGGGGGGTCAGGTCAAACTGGCTGGGTGGTGGAGTGGTTAATGGTCAACAATTAAAATCGCCAACCAGCCTACTCGACGACAGGCTTAGCGCATACGAGTATCACGAGTTCGAGTCCCGGAATGAGCACCTAAAAATCGAAAATTTCCCAGCATGAGCACCAAGAGATGTAGCCCCCAGTTCAGCACCGGGGGGGTGAACTCTTTTTAGTTTTGGCATTGGATTTTTGGTTGGGCACTATCATAGGTAGGCAAGGGGGCTGGCATTGTGACAGGTGTAAACTTGGGCGCTTTTCTCTATAACGATCCGGGAAAATGATGATTTTCATAATTATACTGTGGTATTTTCGTACGTTTTGATGCGACTGTATTAAGATCTGAGTGTTGGTCAAGTTCGTCTGCGGTTGCCCATATTCTCCCAGAACTCCTGATGAATCTCAATTTCCAACGACCTCCTGGCTCGAAATCTAAACGTCTGACTGACATTGTTGAATCTTACAACAGTGTCATTCAAAAGGCAGCTTAGTGAAGGAAGTTGATGGGCATACGAGTTGAGTGCTTCAAAGGGGGGAGGCTGTGCCATAGTTGTCGAAGCAGTTGAGAGCGCCATTGTCGCCAAGCCAAATCCTATTAGCTTCACAGAGGGGGAAACGCCCGCGTGAGTCGATGATTGAGAATTTTCGGAGAACAGCATCACTTACAGAGATTGATTCGAGCAAACAAGGTTCCGCTTTCGGCGCTCTCCAAATAGCAGCCCAGCAAAATATCTCCCTTCTTCTCACCTTCCTTCGGGGGCGGAGGGATTGTTAACGCGCAATTGGTGCCATTGTGATTGCCACTACTCATGTTTGATCTCGCGTCAGCAAAAATAGGAACTCATCGTCTCAAGAAGCATATCAAAAGACTGCCAGAATTTGGGCATGGGAGTGACTCGACTTCTTTAGCCAAAAAAGGCCTTTGGCATTGCTGACAATACACTTCCTGAGATCGAGCGTAGTGGCCACCCTTTCTCCTTCTTTTGCTCCCTTCTTCCTGTTGGGGCAGTCCGCCGAGAGAACACTTGACGTTCTTCTATCATCGACGTTCGTGACCTGTTTATTCAGGTCGAAGTTGATGCAATCCTTCTGCATGCAATCGGAGTGTTCGGGGCAATCCGGTCCGGCTGCGGCAGCGAAGCCGACGAAGGCGAGGCCAGCGATGATATTGTAGACCTTCATAATTTCTATGGGAGATTACGGTCAGTCAGGCGATAAAACAAGAAGTCGTAAGAGTCTGACGAGTCCTTTTGGATTAGATTTAGAAGTTGGATGACGGGATGGGGACAAGATCGTCTTAGAGGGTGCTGCAAGGTATTAAATACTGGTTTTCTAAGTTCTGATGGCATCGCCATGTATCACGCGTGACCAACCGGTGAGAAAATCAAGAGCAGGTTGGTCGTGAACAGAGGGTGCGCAAGAACAAACAACAGGTGACGATGAGCGGCCCCCGCGAGCTTGGGGTCGGCCTGAGCAGCATTAGCATGAGTGAGTAGCCAAAGGAAAGCTGAGTGCTGCTAGAAGCATTCAGCGTTGGCACTCTCCAGTACAAGGCAGTCTGTCGTTCTGGACAGTCCATTACAAGATGATGAGTCGTTGCCCATGTTAGTTTGATCGGGCAACGACAGCATAGTCTTTCTGATGTTCGCTACCACTCGTACCTGGACTGTCCTTCCCTGGCAAGCAGCGCTGAAGATGATGGAATACGCGCGCGTCTATTCTTTTGAGCAAACTGGGAGTTTCCCAAGCTCAGAGCTTGTTCACACACAAAGAAGTCATGTTGAACAGCTGTCCTGCAGCTTGTTCGTTGGAAGTCTATAATTAGCCGCTCGCCAACAAGAAGGCTCGTTTCGCGGCGACTGTTTCTTTGTCTTGGAATGTGTTGCTTGGGTTGCTTCTAGAGCTCCATTCTTTCAATCTACATATACTGCATCTTACGATTTGGGACTGAAAAAGACTATCACTCGAACATTATTCGATGTTCCGCAATGGTAGCTAGCAAATATGCAGCCCTCGGATACCCTTGGCAGCTACTCTCTCGACATCAGCCTCATACTTCAATCATGAAGTCTCTGGGAATCCACTGTGTTGATTGATATGTGAAATTTTCGACTTGACCCAACGGAAAAGAGTTCACCTGGGCCCCACAAAGGATTGCAATGTCTAGATATAGCTTAGTACTGAGGGTGCATAAACCGACCCCCAATCTCGTGATAAAGCCATGCTTTCCCTACGACGCAACAATCTTCCAAGGACTGCGCGAGAACCGGTTCTCCGGATCATACTTGCCCTTCAACTCTACCAACCTCCTCGCATTCTCCCCAAACCCTTCCTTGACACCCACATCGCTGCTAGCATAGTTGTTGTACTGTCCCACACCGCCCCTCTCACCAGTGTGATTCTCCCCTTTAATCTTTGCCGCCAAAGCCCGGTTCCAGCCCCTGATCATGCCGTCCTTGGCTGGGTCCGTCCAGCAAGTCAAGACCATGCAGTCAAAGTACGTCCCGCGGTTCGAGTACGCCGTCGCCCCAAACGGCACGCTCATCACCTTGTCCTTCTTGTAGATTTCCACAGCTAGGATACTCCCCCGCATGTCGTTACCGTTGGCGGTCTCCTCGTCGACGCGAGAGTAGAATTCCCTGCTCATCTCTTCCCACTTGGCTAGCTCAAAAGGCGCGGTGATGTTCGTCCCGCCCATCAGCCGTCGTGCGCCTGGGCCCTGGAGCTCATCAAGTATCGTATTGGCTGTCGGATAGTCCATCTCAGTCGCCATGTTCACCAGCGGTCCGACATCGAGGAGCCCCTTGAAGATACCCTCCGTCGCCTCTTCCGCCGTACCATTATGGAACGGCTGCACAATAATCATAGGCTTCGCATCAGGCCCCGGCGGACCATAAGCAAACCCCATAATAACAAACTGCCTTCCATCCATCTTCTCCACAAACTCATTCGCCCAGGTAATCAACGCAGGCAGCTGAGAGTTGGCAAACATCAAAGCCCCATACCACACCTTCCCCTGGGGAAATACCTCGGAAGTAAACCTCGTCACAACCCCAAAACTTGCGCCAGCCCCACGAAGCGCCCAAAACAAGTCCGCATTCGCCGTCTCGGACGCAGTAACAATCGACCCATCCGCAAGAACAACCTCCACTTCAACAAGACAATCGACCGCGAGGCCGTGAAGCCCGCTCAACAGCCCCTGTCCGCCGCCAAGCACGAGCCCGCCGACGCCCGTGTGCGATACCGTTCCGCCGACGGTCGCGAGGCCGTGCTTCCAGGCCGCGGCGTCGACGTCCTTCCAGGTGCAGCCGCCGCCGTAGGTGACGAGGCGTTTTGCGGGGTCGACTGTCACGTCGCGGAGGTGGGATGCTAGGTGGATGACCATCCCGCCGTCTGAGGATGAGGTTCCTGCGGTGGAGTGGCCTCCGCCGCTGGTGGTGAAGGGGATGTCATGTTTCGTGGCGAAGCGGATTGCTGCTGAGACGTCGTGGGCCGACTTTGGCTTGACGACTATGCCCTATGGAGGCTTCAGAGGTGTTCTATACGTGCTGGGCCGAAAGGGAGTTGGGGTGGAGGGGCTTACCGCTGGTTTGATGCAGACGATGGACCATCGCACGAGGCTGTCTTCGTATCCCTCATCGCCGGGCAGGAGAACCTCGCCGTTGATGTCTGCCCTCAGGGCCGGTACTTCTTGTTGCCACGATGTCATATTTCTTGTTTATGATTGTTGGTGGAGAAGTAGGCGAAGTGTGTTGTGTCTTTGAGAGTTGTGGTTGCTTTAAAGTGTGCGACCCTCTCAGTACTCTGTGCAACAGACGGGTATGACAACGCCAATCACCTCACAAGTTCCTCGTTCCGATAAATTAGGCAGAGAGCGAGAAACAAAAACACCATGGATCAGCATGATTCTGTCAAATCATTGGATGCAGCGTCAAGCAGGCCACGAACTCTGGCCTGTCAGCACTAAAAAGGGAACTAAACGGATCCTTTGTGGGAGGTATATTAGTAAGCTTGTGGACGGAGAGATGTTGTTCACTTGCGGATGCTGGTTTGCGCCATTGACTCTTGTATAGAGGATATGCTAGATAGACAGATGTCCCTGACTATCAAGGAGCTAGATTCCAAAGTCAAACCCCTAAGATTAGAAGATCCGTCTGTCCAGTTTACTTGAGAAGCGCGGGTGTAAGTCAGGAATGTCGGGTACGGGGAAGAGTTGAAGTCTAAGAGACTCTTCGAGTTCGTGTAGTGTTTGACAGCTGGCCATGGCATTTGGCAATAGCATCTCATATCCCGTATTGCTAGCCTTCACGATACGTTCCACATGTGAACGTCGATAATAGCGATGTTATTGCTTCTTTGCACTGATTTTGTAGCCCAATGTATCATCAATCAAGCTCGTCTGTACGAGCAACTTACAGCTCAGCCAAACTCTCCCCCTTCACATTCACAACCCTCACCTTACCCCCACCTCTACTCCCAGAAACTACAACAGCCTCACCCACAACCCCCTCCGCATCCCACCCAAAATCGACAACCCCGCCACCCCGGATCCGCAACCCCTTCACGCTCCCGCCGCCCCACCTCGCCGGGATAGCGGGCCCGAGCACCACCGTCCTCACCTCATCCTCCCGGGACCCGTACGGCAGCGGCAAATCCACAACAAGCATACTCAACACCGCACCGCTCAACCCAAAGTTCGCATCAATCTGAAACGGCGCGCCCGTCCCGGAATACATGCTCAGCCCGTTCTGCGCAAAATTCACGTCAATCGCGTACCGGAGCTGGTCGTAGGCTCTTTCGGTATCGTTCAACCGCGCCCAGCACGCCGCCCGCCAGACCTTGGCCCAGCCTGCGTTCGCGTCGGGCGCGTTGCCCCTCCCGCGCGAGATGAGCGTCTCTCGGACGGCGGACTGGATTGTAGCGTTGGAAGCGTAGCCGCCTAAGAAGGAGGAGACGGAGGCGCCCGGGTACCAACCCGTCAGGTGGGACAGGTGACGGTGCGTAGACGGTTTATCCGAGTTATACGGCGCCGACTCGGGGAGCTTCCATTCCTTGAGGCCGCCCCATGTCGCGACGTGGACGCCTTTATCCAATTTCGCGAGGGACTCGGAGACGGAGTCCAGGAACGTCTGATCCTCGGCAGAAGCAGAGGGGAGGACGGACGCCCCGAGGAGGACGTACTCAAAGACCTGGTGGATCATCTGGTGGTAGTGCGCGCAGCCGAACGTCGTGGGGCCGGTCTCCGGGCTGTTGCAGGGGTTGACCACCAGCGTTCCGTCGCGGGAGAAGGCGTCGTCCTGGAGCTGGGTGAGCCAGAAGGCGGCGACGCCCTTGATGAGGGGGTAGCCTTGGGAGGCGAACCAGGTTGCGTCGCGGGTGTAGTCGTAGGCGTCGAAGACGTGTTGCATCATCCAGGCTGCTGCTGCTGGGTCTTTGGTGGCGTTAGTCGGTTCAGGTCTGCTATATGGGGAGGGAGAGAAAGAGAAAAAAGGGAGAGGGGGGATAGTAACTTACAGTTCGCCCACTCCGCCCCCTCCTTCAAAGCAGTATGTCCAAACACATTCATCTCATTATGCACAACCCACCCACTGGCATTATATATCAACCTCGCCGTCTCCGTGCCTCTCGGAACCCACGTGTCCTCCATATAATCCCACAGCGCCCCCTGCGTCGCCTCCCCCAACCCCGTCTGGTCCGCGTGCCAGTAGTTCATCTGCAGATTGATATTGGCGTGGTAATCCGCGCTCCACGCGGGCCAGAGCTGCTCCGTCCAGCGGCCCTGGAGGTTGGCAGGTAAAGAATTTGCGCGGGAGGAGGCGATGAGGAGGTGGCGGCCGTAGTCGAAGAGGAGGGCTTCAAGAAAGGGATCGCCGCCGTTGGGCGTGGTGGAGTCGTAGGAGGCGATGAGCTGGGAGGTCTCTGCTGTGGTGGAGGAGTTGAGGGGGTCCGGGAGGGCGAGGGTGAAGGCGGATTGGAGGGTTTGGTAGTCTGCGATGTGGGAGGATAGGAGGTCGGAGAAGGACTTTGAGGAGGCGGACGTGGAGATGGATTCGGTTTTGGGGCCTGGGTCTGCGCCTTTGAAGGAGTAGGAGGAGGCTGCGTTGCCTTTCTTTTGGTCGTAGTTCGTTTCGGCGCTGATGATTACCGTGAGGGTAGTTTGGCCTGGTGAGGGTGTCACTTTGAAAAGGCCAGAGGACGTGCAATTCGCGACGGCGGCGGATGAGGACTCGGAGGTGAGCTTCGCGATGGAGTCAAACTTCATGCCCTCGGGCGGACCGAGCTGCGTGACGCCGGTGAAGCGAACGTGGTCCGCACCGCAGGTTACATTATAGGTATCTGCCTCAATGAGCTGGTTCTCGAGACCTATCGTGACGGCGGGCAAGGTCGTTGTGCCATTGCTTGCGGCAGAAGAGGTGGCGGCGACGTGGTACACGCATACTTGATCCGGGTACGAGCAGAGATTGGTGATTTCGTAGTCTGCCGCGTTTGCAGTGAACGTCGTCGTGTGGACGCCTGTCGTGAGATTGAGGGTGCGTTTGTACGAGGTGTAGTTGCCCACGCCGTCGATCGTGACTGTCAGGTTCGCGAGAACGCGGTTGCCACCGTAGTTTGCTCCTGAGCCGAGGATGGCTGAGACGTCTTTGTTATTGAGCGTTAGCAACACGGCCCTGGCTTGGTTCTCAAACGAGGTTCTGTCTTTACCTCCGGTCCCATTCTCGAAGATGAATGAGCGGATTTCAGGAAGAGCGTCGTACTTTGGCTCTGTAGGGTTACCGCCTGTGTAGTTCTGACAGGAATCACCTTTAGTAAGATGTTTACTTCTCATTCGACGAGTTCGAAGACTCACCGAGGCCTCAAAGGGTCCGCCAGCCCATAGAGAGTCAATATTCAGATTGACCTTCTCCGCATGAGGCGGACCAAACGGAATCGCTAGAAGCGTGTCAACATCATGGTCACGGATGAAGATGGTAGACTCTCGAGTCTAGACTCTAGACTCACCCCCAAGTTTGCCATTGCCAATAGGATACCCAGTCTTGAGCAAATACGTATCCGAACTCGAATCTCCGTACGTCGCAGGGCTCGAAGACCAGAGAGACCGAGCCTCACATACCGCGAAGCTGGCGCACAGAGCCAGCGCTGGGCTCGACGTAACCTTCATCGTGAATAACAACTTGACGTTCGGGTCCAACTTAACCTACACAGCTCTCCATGACTGAGATTGGCCTTGGCCTTCTTTTAAAAAGGCCATTGACCAATCCGACCCCGCATTTGAACCATTACATCAATACCACCGAGATCTCGCGTGGCTACGTAGTAAACAGCAACATCACCTCACTTCATCTCGGGGAACGCGGTTGCGTGAGGTGAAGCGGGGAGTAGCCTTGGTGTGGGGTTCGATCTGCCTGGTGCGCGCATGCATACCCGTTGTCCGCGATTTCCCTCCAATGGGGTTGTGAGTTCTCAATGATGTGCATGTTGCAGTTTTGCTCCGCTTTCTTTCTTTCTGTGCCTGGCTCAGTCACAGTGATCTCCTTACTACGTGACTTGGCAAATCTATTATGCTTTGGGGTATCCGGTGAAGGGGGTGGTTGACCGACCCCGATTCGGGCCGTTGGGGGAAATCGCTTGCTGCGTGGTGAACTGCGGGGTTGCGAGCCGAGAACAGGAATCTTGGCGCGGACTGCTCCGGGACCCCAAGCTAGACATGAGCTGAGCGATGGAATTGCGTGGCGAGTGCACAAGTTGCCTAAAGGCAGTGAGTGCTTCCGCAGTGTTGTAATATTGCTCTGTTTTACCCCTTCAGTCCTGCTAGACTGTGCGGGTTTCTACCTCGTATGAGCTAGGCATCGCTGGACCTCAAGCCAAGCTGGGTCGAGGATGCAAAACTTGGCTCACGAAAGAGAAGCACATAGATGGAAAGCCGATCTAGGAGTTGACTTCAACTTAGGTTTTAATGGTCTATAGACCACAGCAACTAATTCTAACTGAAATTCGAATTTTCAAGTGGGGAGAGAGGGAAGGAGTGAGAGCTGCATACTTCCGCAGTCAAGCCTGACCAGGGCATTCCTCGTTAATCTTGGAAGCATGCAGGCGGGATGATCGTACCGGACTCGATACATTAGAGATCTACTACCCGTCTGGCATGGATGACCGTACCGAATATCGACACCATCCCACCGGCTGACTGAGGTCCAAGGTAGGATGGCAGGTTCCGCCAAACGTAACATATTCAAGGCGGACGAGCTGCCAAACGGCTGGTATCTACTAACCAACAGAAAAGTGCTCAAATTGTTGGGACTTTCTTCATGATCATGAGTCTCATCTACCTTCCTACCTCAATGAAGAATAGGCACAGGATCAACATAAAACCGTTCTGGTGAGAGCACGTAGGCTTGAACTTGTTTGTTATTTCTTTTCGAGTACACTCCATCTGGCAGCATATACATGCCAACCGAGCCATGTACTTCAGTCTCGTCTCATCACTCTCTTTCCTTCACTCGCACACACACATTCCCCTTCTCCACCGTGGCTCGCGAAGCCCATAGTCTCGGTAAATACCCAAAAGGGGCGGGTTCAATGTACAGTTCCTCCAAGGAATCCCGCACGTTTGGTCCTATATGTACACATCAAGAAAAGGGCGACCCTTCTTGAAGAAAAACAAGACATTATATGAATAGAAAAATTGGCACACACGCTCGAACAAAGTTTTGGTGGAAAAGAAACGGTCGTAACAGGAGAGTGGCTGGCTTAGCCGGCAACACCAGTGGCGGGGTACCCTATTCGTTCGCGTTAGCATTTGTTTTCGTAATGAATACCATAGGCAGAATGACTTACACCATGAGCATGTTGCGATAATGGCATACAGACAAATGAGCTGCAGCCCCTCGAGCCAATGACTCTTGCCATCGGCAATCAGGTAGTTGACCAAAAGAACGGCGACGAACAGCACAGCAACCTGGAAAAGGTCGAAGCTGAGCGTCATGGCGTCGTTGCCCATACCCCAGCCGATGATGATCAACAATGGAATCAGGAACAGCGCAACCTGCATAGACGAACCGACGGCGACACCAATGGCGAGATCCATCTTGTCCTTGATAGCGACAGTGACAGCAGTGGCGTGCTCGGCGGCATTACCGACAATGGGCAAGAGAATGAGACCGACAAACTCCTCGCTGATACCGCCCTCCTTGGTGACGTAGTCGATGGAGCTGACCATGGCTTCGGCGCAGAAGGCGATGAGAACGGTGGCTCCGGTGAGAGTGCCGACGGCGACCAAGAAGTGCAACTGGGGCTCCTCCTCTTCATCATCCTCTTCCTCGTGACGTTGCATCATCATGCGGCTCAGCTCCTGTCTCTCGTTCTCACTCTCTCCGCGGACACCGGTCTGAGCCATGCGCGCTCCAGTGCCGGCCAATCCGCGAGCGAGAGCGCCCTCCTTCAAGCCGCCGCGGCTCCAGGGCTTGGCGGCAACCTTTTGAGACTCCTCGTTGAAGACGGCATTGTGGGTCTTGAGCTGGAAGAACAGGTACGAGGCGTAGATAATGAGCAAAATGACGGCTGTGCCACGGGAGAGAGCGGCGACGTGGACGGTGTTGTCGGTGCCGTCGTTCTTGTCGAAGACGGTGGGGACGATGACGGAGGCAACAGCGAGAGCCAAGAGTGATGCGGCGGTCTGGGCGACGGTGGTGTTGAAGTATTGCTCGGGTCGGTTGATTCCGCCAAAGAAGAAGCAGAAGCCCATGACGAGCAACAGGTTGGAGAGAATGGAGCCAATGAGTGACGTCTGCACAATCAAAACCTTTCCTTCGGCCAAGGCGAGAATGGCGACAATGAGTTCGACGGCGTTTCCGAAAGTTGCGTTGAGAAGACCTCCCAGTGTCTCACCCGTCCTCAGTGCGATTTCTTCGGTTGCGAAACCCAGCATGGCTGCCAAAGGGATAATGGCGATGAAGTTGACGACGAATACGGCAATTTTGTTGACAGAGGAAACGTAGCTGATGGCGATACCGGCGGGTGCTGCCAAGATCAAAATGTTGATATATGAGCTGAGCAGGGTTCTTTGAAGCTGGTTGGCGACGGTGAATGGCGTTTTCGGCTGGACGTGTCGAATCAGACCGGACTTCTGCTTCTTGGCCTTGGGCCCCTCCTCCTCATCTTGCGGCAGATTCTCGCCTGGTGAGTTTTCCGTCTTTCGATTCCTTACTCCACCGTCCTCGGGCTTGTTCTCAAACATTGTGTCGCCGCTGCCGCTTCCTGTCCCTGATCTCGTCTCCTTGCCCAAACTGTTGCGTACTGTCTCGGAATCTCTAGGTGCGGGCTCGCTCTGGACGTGATGTATCGCCTCGTCGGTTTCCCTCTCTTCCGCGGGCACCTCGCGCTGTGCCTCAAGATTGGCGCCATCCCAGGTGGATCGTTTACCGGGTTGGTTCTCCCATGATACGTGACGGAATGGGTTCCATGTTTGCTCCTGACTCCGGCGGCTGAGGCCGTGAGCTTTGCGTTTGATATCGAAGTGGTTGACTGAGCCGATGAGTGACGGCATGGTCAGCTATGTGTTTGCAGCGGGCTGGGCGCTGGCGCTTTGTAATTGACGGATGAAAAGGTGAGGTAGGAAACAAATTGGATAGGTGAGGTGAGGTATGGTCAAGGGAAATGGTTCGTTAAGTGAAATAGGGTAATGACGTGAAACTAGCTGTGTGGAGTGCAGGTGGGAATGATTTGTGGAGGCGACGGAGAGAACGGGGGTAGATAGTGGTGTGGATGAGTGACAACTGCTCGAGGTGACTCTTGGCGGTTGCACAGGCAATTGGTGGGAGAGGGATGAGACTAGAGTGGTAGTCTAGAAGATAGTCTCCCACCTGCGAGTGGAAAGGGAGGGGAATTGGAGGTAAGGGGCGGAGGGATAGAAACAACGAAACAACAGTACTCCGTCGAGAAGGGAAATAAATTAACAGAACGGTGATATGGGAAACGGAGTGAGAGGGTGTAATGTGTTTTGCGAATGTTCCTTTGGGCTCTGGCAATCTGCTGTCCTGCCAAGAGAGACGATGCAACGGTGACTGGGGGCAAGATGGGGGATAGGGGACGGGGGTAGGCGGGTAATGAATGGGATTTCGGTCTTTTGGCTCAAAAGTGAAGACTTAGGTAATAAGGGAAGAAAGGTACTCACAGGTGTTCATGCTGTGCTGTGCCGTGCCGCGCCTGAAGGTGACGACGGCTATTCGGGTGGTGGATACGAATGTATTCGTAAGGTAAAGGTGGTGTGTTGGTGACTTGGGTGTTGGTGGAGTGCTTGGGCTTGTGCTTTTTGTGGCAAAGATCAGATCGCTTCAGATCAGCGCCCAGATGTTGAGACGAAACGCGAACCGAGCTGTGAGTCGGGGTTCTTGTAGTGGCCTTGTTCCGGGGTTCCTCGTTGGGGCGGATGAATATGTCAATATTGAAATGCTGGATGAGAGAAGATATCGACAATGATGTTGTTGTTGTTGGTCTTTCTTATGGCGCAGATGAGAGCTTTGCGCTTTAGAATTAGGTGATCAACTGTGGCGCGGGAGAGAGGCCTCCTTGGCGCAAGTCTTCCGCGTCTGGGGGCCGGGGTGCCGGAGATGAGACGGGTCCAGTCCGATAGACGGTCGGTACTTTGGGTCAAATGTGAAGGGATTGCAAAATCTGCCAAGCCAATCACCTGTGACCGCAGAGAAGACGCGCAAGCCAAGACCGGTTGCCGCCGCTATAGAGAAGAACGGTGCAGCGCTGCAGAGGGCAGGAGAGCCTAACTGACGACAACGACTGGGCTCGGCCGGGCTGTGTGAGGTACTGCGCTGTCGGTCGGCGGTGTGACGGCGGCGAAGGAAAGGTGAACAAGTGGCCGCGAGCGCGAGCTGTCTGGTTTGGGCCTTGCGCAACGGCGGGTGTGTCGACTGGAGTAGCGTATATGCAACTAGGTGAGGCAGTGCAAGTGCTTTTTTTTCTCTCGGAAAAGTGGGAAGCAGAGCTGGAGGGTACGAGTGCGAGTCGTGTACGAATATCTGTAAGGTCCCTTGAGTCTTGACTCGGTTGTCGGATGACCTTAGTCGACCTTAGTCAGCTCGAGATGGGACGGTTGATGGCTGAGCTCTCAGAGTTTATGTCTGATGGTCGAGGTGTGAGACTCGGTGGTGAGGGTGAATAAAGGTGTGAGAGATGGGAGGTGAGAAGAACGAGGGACGGTTTGGAAGAGAAGAAAGGGGAGCGAGGGAGCTTTAGCTAGTTCTTGGCCCCTGGATGGCACTAAGATGAAAATCGTCACGGTCCCATGGCGACCACAACATTAACCATACTCCGTACTCAATGAGAGGCGGGAGGAGAGACGAGTGAGAGACGGGAGATGAGAGAATGGCGTTGAATGGGCTGGGGGCGTTTCACAGTGGCAGGCCTACGTCAGATCCAGCTGTGTGTAGTGCGTCTGTCCTACCTAACCTTACCTTATTTTTGTTTGCATATGTACGGATACCACCTCACCAAGGGTAGTGACCACAGCAATGAGGTACCAATAGTAGGGAAGCGCCGTTGATTACAGCCATCCACCGATGCGCAGACGCTAATTTCCCTGAATCGGCACCTTCCATTCTCATTTGAACATTTCTCATTCATCGTCCTTGCCCGATGCCACACATAAAGTGACCACGTAACGAAGGACATGAGAAGTAAGGAAAGTAGCAAGCGAATAGCAGCTTCTATCTGTTTCTCACTCCTTCCCAATCTCAGGTAGAAGGTGATGAATAGCAAGTGCAACTGCTTGATGAGTGACTTCCCCAAGTCCCCTTTCACATCTGTAAAGAGGGGCAACGGGTCCCGTCCCTGCCAGTTGTAGCCCCCCTTTCCTTGGTGCCTTTTCAACTTCTCCCACTTCCCTTGCCATTTTCACTAAGGCAATGCCCCGTCAGTGTTTATAGCCATTTCATCGAATAAACTCCCTGCGGATGAATTCCGTCCAATTGAGCCATCACGAACAAACCATCCAAACAGCATCCAGACACATCTTGAGGACGTCGTTGATGTCGTCACAACCCCCGGTGACGTGCCAAGCCGACGCCACGCCTCTCGAGTCTCTCCCCAATCCTCCAATCCTACCCTGCACAGCAAAACAAGACACGACAGCACCAAATGCGCGCCCAAAACAAGCTTCTGCCAAGCCCCATTTTTGCCAAGCATCAGAACACAAGACTTGCCAAGGCGGTCACCAGTCGATCGCATCGTCTTGGCTATTGCTTCTTCATTCTCATCAGTCTGAGATAAGAAATCGTCTTTCGTCAATCGCCAGTCTGCCACTTTTCTCGAATCAAACTAGAAGGAGGTTCAAGACAAAGTAGATCAAGTCCACCTGCATACATGGAATCACTCGCTGAGTCGCATCATCGCCAGGTCAAATCCAATTCAGACTTTGAGTGTGGTGTGTGGGGCGCACAATGACATCAGCCACCTGCACTCAATTCCCATCTCAAATCGTTCCCCAGGCCAGCCACACCTTTCTTCCTTCTACCTCCGTAGTAGACTCGGGACTGTCTGACAGTCAGACCGCAACACCGCTTCAAATCAGGTAAAACCACCTCATACTTTCCCAATACCCCATCCGTGACAAGGGGTGGAACAGACAGTTAGACAGCTGGACCACCAGCTGCCACTTAACCTTTTGCCTCATTCAGGCACGCTCGCCCACCACACCAAGAATGACGGGTTCCAGACCAAGGTAGATCCCATCCCCATCCCAAACCTATCCGAGTCTTTGGGGCTCCTGGATATGTGTCCGGAGTGTGTGCTTACTATGCGCCCGCCGCTCCCCTCCGGCATCTTCCACTCTCTGCTTCTGCATCCGTAATCTTGACCCGTTCGCGATTTCGAAATCGTTGCACGCCCACAAAGGGAAATGCTCCGGTATCGAAATTAAACTTCACACAGCCCCCGTAAAGCCACACCTCGGTACGGAACCAACCCGCACGGGAAGTGGCGTGTGGCTGGGGTAAGGTACATCTCCCAGCATGGAACGTACCGAAAGTCAATTGGCGTTGCCGACAAGCCACCTCCCGCTTCCCGAAAGTCACATGACGCCTTGTCGACGCCACCTAGCCGGTAATGAATTCTCCGATCAGGCGCCTCAACGTGGCGCAGCTACACCTGCAGAGTGCATTTTCCACATCCCAGGCCTTTGGTCTGCACAGCTGAGCCACACATCACCTGCGCAAACTGCCTGCACTTGATTCGGAAGCAATATTGCTCATCATATCATAAGGGGCGAAGAGCGTACTATCATGACGTTCTATAGCCCTCGAGTCTTTATGGTTCGTGTTCTGGAACAAGAGATCGATCATCATAGAAGCCATTAGGTGAGATCACGACGCTGAAAGTGACTGGTGAGCGGGTGGCCTCCTTGCCCAACCATATCGCATGACTTACATGATGATCGTTCACTTTGGCAGAGTGATTACATAGCCATTGACTCTCAAAGTAAGATCAGAGCCAATAGACTTCCTCAACAATAATGATGGTCGTGTAAGAGAACATGCAAGCCCCTCAATTGGGCAAATATAGACAGATATCGTGAAAGATCACTGTATCAACGCTAGTACTATGTTCATTAGCTTCATAATCATCTACACAGAAAGAACACCAGTATACACTATCCACACAATCACATCACTCCCACTCCCACCCCCACCCTCACAGTATTCTTCCACCCTCACAGTATTCTTCCACCATCACTCTCTCTCCCTCTCCCTCTCTCTAACCTCCCTCCTAGGCCCCCCACCCCCTAACCCAAGCCCATCCTGCACACTCGCCCTCCTCAAAAACTGCATCCCCGCCGCCGGACTACTCATCAAGCTCCTCGGCCCCGGGCTCGGGCTTCCACCACCAATATGCAACCCCCGGAGCCCTTCCGGTCCACCTCCACCTCCACCTGCGCCTCCACCTGCGCCTCCATACCCAAGCCCACCGCCACCGCCGCCAGAATGCAAATCTCCAAGGACACCCGCCGGCAGCCCCAACATCGGTATACTCGCCTCCGGCACAGCCTCAAGCCCAACGACGGTAGGCCTCATCGCTCCGGGGGTAGTCATGGCCTGCGGCGGGCCCCGCTCCAGCGTCTCCCTGTAGAACGCCTCCAGCCCCGGCCCGTCGTTGCAAAACGCCTCGAGCTCCTTGAGGATCGGTATCGGGTCCACCGCGGCCGTTGTGTTTGCTGCCGATGACGCCGTCGCGCCAGAAGGCCCGCCAGACGCGCTGGAACTCGCTCTCATATCCGAGGCCCTCACCGCAGGCGACCCACCACCACCTCCGGCATAGAAAACGGGCTTCACCATCGGACTGCTCATCGGCGTCGGATCCGGAATCCCAAAGGGCGTGTACGAGCCCACGGGTATAATCCTGCCCCCACGCTCAACGACATTATTGGTACCACCACCACTGCCGCCGGCGCTACTATTCGCCTCCCTCATATCCTTGAGCTCCTTATCCCGCGCCGTCCAGGCCCGATTACTAAAAAGCCGGTTGGCCAGCACAAGGAAA